AAGTTACTCCCAAATATCCATGTTTGCCACAAGAAGTCCAAAAATCACTTGTCAGTGATATATATTTGGATTCTCTCTCCATTATTTCAATTAATAAATTTTGAATATTTTGATAATTATACTCTAACATCTCATCAATTTTTTCTTGAGTAGGTAGATTGTAGCTAGGATTTAATGATTGAACAAAGCTTTGAAAACTATTACTTTTAAGTATATAAAAAGGTTGCACATCTTCTATAATAAATTCTAATATAATTTTTTATTGATATTATCTTTTTCTTTTTTTGTAATAATTTTTTGCTTTGAAAAATCACGAATATCTGTTTGTTTTTTTAATTCTAACTATAAATTTTGAATATAATTAATTATAAATATTGAATATGCTAATTTAAATTATTTAATTACAAAATAATTTTACCTTTTCTTTCTCATTTGGTTGAAGAATGCCATGTGCATGTAATAAGTGGGAGATACAATTACTAGTTGAATTATTATTTTTTATTTTTTTATTGCATAACCCATCTGGATTTTCAGAAGATACATTCACCTTTATCTTACAGATTCTATAATCACCATGATCCTCGATATAACTCCAAACAAAGCTATCCTTTGGTCTACCTTTACTTACTTCAAATTTTCTTTTTTTATTTGAAGAAGTATTAGCTGAATTATCATCACCGTCATCAATTGTTATTGTACTGTTACTAGTTGCCATTTGTCAAATTGAAAGAATGAAAATTTAAATGATATATATTCGTGTGAATAATTTTATTGCAAGGTGTTACAAAATATTTCAAATGGTAATTTCAAATTAAATATTCTGACAATAGTAATTGAATAATCACAAGTATTTCGAATAATCATAAGTATTTCGAATAATCATAAGTATTTCAAATAATCATAAGTATTTCGAATAATCATAAATGTTTCAAATAATCATAAGTATTTTGAATAGTCATAAGTATTTCAAATAATCATAAGTATTTTGAATAGTCATAAGTCTTTCGAATAACCATAAGTATTTCAAATAGTTGTAAATGTTTCAAATAGTCATAAGTATTTCGAATAGTCATAAGTGTTTCGAATAACCATAAGTATTTAGAATAACCATAAGTATTTCAAATAACCATAAGTATTTAGAATAACCATAAATATTTCAAATAGTCATAAGTTTTTCGAATAGTCATAAGCATTTCAGATATTTGAATAATTATTCGAATATCAAGTGATAATAATTATGAATATTCGAATATCACTTTTATTTTTGATCAGAAGCCCTAAGTCAGATTAGCCTTTTGTATGTGAGGAACATGTGAGAATGACTGTAAGTGTTCAAAGTAGTGTGCGTGCTTCAACATCTGTAAATTTTCGATAATCAAATGTTGCATATTCAAAATGTTTCATATTTGAAATGTCTCATATTGAAATGTCTCTTCTGCAACAGTCTGCCACATTGATATCTTGTAATTATATAATAATATAATAATAATATTAATATTGATTACGAAAAGCAAAATACCAATTGTATACCATCTTGATGAGATTCTTATAATTAATTACCCAGCAAGATCTGCTCCGCGTTTTGATTCCATTTAAAATATTTATAAACTAAAAAAGATACCACATTATATCAATACAAATAAAAAATAGTACCTCTGGTTAGTTATAAACACGTTTCTTTAGGAGACTCACATTTTGTCACCTTGGGCTCTGTCAAAAAATAATTTGTTTTCCAAAAAAAAAAAAAAAAAACAATTGCGCAAACAAAATTTGTGCAACACCAATAATATGTTATACAAATTTTTGTTTACTTTTAAAAATAATAATAAAAATGACTTCAATTACCAATAGAAAAACCATTAAAAGAAGTAAGGAAACAAATATACTCGAAAGAGGGTAAGTGTTTATTGTAAGAATGGTGATGGTGGTTATCGCCACTTGTTGTCACTCTAGTTATTATAAAAAGAACGGTGGTGGTTATCGCCCGCCACTTGTCACTCTAGTTATTAAGTATAGATGGAAAATCTGTGCTCAATTTATCACGTAGTTATTATAACTGCTATTGCTTTTAATTCATTTTGTTTGATTTAGTGCCGCTTACACTGTAATTACCACCAGCTCAGATGAAGTTATTTCTGCTGTAAATCAACAAAAACGAAATAATGACGATAATGATGATGTTTATAATAGTCGAGTAAGTATATATCATACTGAATCATATAAAAGCAAAAATGGTTATAAATTATTAAATATCATGCATTTATTTGATACTCATTTAGGGAATATATAAAAGGGTAATGTTGTCTGTGGTTTTTAAGTTAAAAGAACATGAAAAACCTCATATATTTTTCTATATTCAGTTAAAGAATATTATGCCCCTTGATTTATATCCAACTGATGATGAAAATGATGGTGATGAAAATGATGGTCATGAAATTGATGATGAAGAAGGGGATGAACTTCCAGAACTAAATGTGTTTACAGATTTTACCACTGTGGATAAATCAGGGTTGGCAAATGTGTGGTCCATTGATGGTCCATTGGGTCCATTAGTGTAACATTTTAACTATATTTAGTATTTTATTAATGGCAATGGAC